GACGGGAGAGAAGAAGGGAACCCAGCGCAGCAGCACACCCCATGGGCCACTAGAATCAGTGCAGCAGCAGACCTCAGGAGGTACTGGTGGTTTAGGTGGTGCAAGGGATGTTCCCAACATGGCTGCTTTTCAAGCATTTCTGGTGCAGCAGCAGCAGCAGCAGCAGCAACAGCAACACCAACAGCTGCAGTGGCTGCAGGAGCAGCAGCATCAGCAGCAACAGCGTCAGCAGCAGCAGTGGTTGCAGGTTTTGCTGCGCAGCAGCAGCAGCAGCAGCAGCAAGAGCAGCGGCAGCAGCAACACATGCTGCAGCAGCGTCAGCAGCAGCAGCAACAGATGCTGTTGCAGCAGGTGCAGCAGCAGCAAGCGCTGGTTCAGCTTCTTTGGATGCAGGAAACTGCTCGCACCAGTGCTGCAGCAGCCATGGGTCCTGCTGCTGCTGCTGCTGCTGCTGCTGGAAATGCTTCTAATGGTGATACATATGATGACTATGATGATTCAGGAGATGGTTATAATGGTAACGCTGACTCGGGTGAGGATTACTCTTGTGGTGACGAAGAGGATGAGGGGGAGGGTAGGAGCAAAGACCGGAGGCATGGAAAGGCAGCAATCAGAGGGAGTAGTTGCGATGTGAGAGGTGGAAGGTGCAGCAGTGGCGGAGAGGGTGTGAGTGGTGGCAGGGCTGGCAGGCATGGCTTTGATGTAGAAACAGACGAGGACGAGACTTAGGATGAAGATCGAGATGACATGGTTGAGTTGTTTGCATTACATACTAGTTCTGGGATGCCAGTGGTTGTATCACTCTGGAAATAGAAAGTATTTATCGCTTATATGAACCTAAGGTTCCTGATACTTGCTGAAACGGTACATTAGTGGGGTTTTGGTTTCAAATGTAGATGGGGTATATTTTGTGTAATGTATGGGAGGCTGGAGAGTGTACACATCGTGACCTTCTGTACACTTGCAGTTGAACAGCAGTACTGCCCAGCTTGACGCTTGCCAGCGGGAAGCGAACCCCCACCTCCACCAGAGGTTCAATTGACCTCACACGTTACTGTACTGTGCGAACCAACGACCCTGCCTTTTCGAAAATATCCTGCCCGTAAATGTCGTCAGTCGTAGCACGTGGCGTAAAAAATCCCGTGCTTCGCAAAATCTTGTGGCCTCAGCTGCCCCCCGCGAAAGAATTCGAAATTCACGTCGCCGCGTCACTGACTCATCAGCCAACCAATCGCAGCCAGCCTGTTTCTGAAACCCTTGCTCCGCCCCATGCGCAAGCTCGTCTTGTCTCGCCTCGCCTTCTTTCCGCCTCCCTTGGCGCAGCACGCGGCGCTGCCGGGCAAAGCAAGTTTTCCCCCGTTTCCCCCATTTCCCCCGAGCACCTGTTTGCGCCATCGGCCCAAACCGCGCGGCAAATATCACCTCGAGATTGCCGAGCAGCGGATCGACCTGCTTTCGGTGGCGACTTGAGCTCTTCTGAACCGAACTTTCTTCGAGCCCATCCCCCTTCCCTCCTCGCTCCTTTCATTTCAGGCTTCTACCGTCTACGTGCAATAGGTTAGCTCGCTCTATTGTGTCACGTCTAGCCGTAGCGTTTAGATTTGAATCAGAGAGTTTTGCAGCCCTTACTTAGTCGTTTGCAGCAACTCTGTTCGGGGTTTGGCTTGCCAACTTCGGAAAGTATTGGGGCAAAATCGATTAAGCGGCTTTTTGGTTTCTTCGTCCGCAGGCACTGGTTCTTGTGCAAGCCAGGGTATTTCGCACAGCTGTTCCGAATTAAAGTCACGTGTCATACCCTAACTAGCTTCGTTTAGAAAAGCCACCTAGCGTTAACTCCTTAGGCGTTTCAAAGCTTGACTGATTCGATAGTCTTGAAGGAAGGAGCACAGAGCGAGCCATGGAGGACGAGAGTGAGCGGAAAAGCGCAGATAGAGACAGAGCGCCAGCGGCAGCGGCAGGAGCGGCGGACGCCGACGCAGGCTCCACGGCGCTGCCCGAAAGAGTACGGCAGACATGAAATTACGATGCGCTCCAAATTCGTTTCAACCGATTCGTCCAGAAACACGATGAGTCACGATAGTGTAGCGGCCTTCTCTGCTCCTACCGGGCTTCTTAACGCTGCTTTTCCCCGACAGGTGCAAGCGGGCGAGTCGCCGCTGTTTAAGGCCGAGCGGACGCTTTAGAGGCGCCTCGAGTGTCCGCCCAGTATATCACGATACGCCCTTTCTCGACCCTTGAAGCAACTTAAAAGTTATCGCGATATCCCTTTCCCCGGCAGGCGCAAGTGGGCGGGTCGCCCGCTGATAACATGGAGCTAAGCTTTGAAGTCGACGTTAATGTCGCTTCTGTAAATCACGATATCCCCTTCCCTGACAGGTGCAAGAGGGCGGGTCGCCCCCGTATAAGCTGTAGCGGAAGCTTTTTAGTCGACTATAGTGTCGCCTCAGAGTTTCACGATAGCCTTTCCCCCCCGACAGGTGCAAGTGGGCGGCTCGCCCGTGTATAAGATGGAGCGGAAGCTGGGGAAGGGCGGGTTCGGGCAGGTGTACGTGGGTAGGCGCGTCAGCGGCGGCACTGAGAGGGTTGGACCGAATGCCGTGGAGGTGAGAGGAGCACTGGAAAATAAAGAAATTTGGCTACACCCAGTAGAAGTTTGAGCGGCTGTTAGACACAAAGTAAACGGCATTTGAGTGTCGAAGATTTGCTTTGAGAGGAATTTGTTGAAGGGGGGGGCTTGGAGGGAGTGAGGGATGAGCGGTGGATATGCAGGAATGGTGGATGCGGTGCGTTGTTGTTGGTTCACGCGGGAAGTAAACTGCTTGCTGCGGTTTGAGTTGTGAGGCATGTGAAAGTTTGCTGTGCCTGCTGGCTGAGGTGCTGGGCTTGCCTAGTTAGTGTGCTTGTCTGCTTGCTGACTCTGCTGTGTCTGCTTGCTGACTCTGTTGTGTCTGCTTGCTGACTCTGCTGTGCTTGCCGTTCTGGCTTGCGTGGTGGGCGGTGGAGTGCAGGTGGCGTTGAAGCTGGAGCACCGGAGCAGAACCCAAGGGATGCAACTACGGCCCCCCCTACGAGTGGCAGGTGTACACGTGCGTGCAAAGTGGGACTGGGCGGGACTGTACGGCTAGAGACTCGGGAGCCGTGAACGGTGGGACTGGGAGGGGCTATAACACGTAGCTGGACCATGGGGGGGCGGCGGTTCATGTCTGACGTGCATAGATGCACTTGGAACAGCATCTTGTGTTACCGCACTGCGGACAGCATCGTCTGACGTGCATGGATGCACACTGAGGTAGCAACCAGTATAGAGTACGGGTAGCAACCAGTATAGAGTACGGGTAGCAACCAGTATAGAGTACGGGTAGCAACCAGTATAGAGTACGGGTAGCAACCAGTATAGAGTACGGGTAGCAACCAGTATAGAGTACGGGTAGCAACCAGTGTAGAGTACGGGTAGCAACCAGTATAGAGTACGGGTAGCAACCAGTATAGAGTACGGGTAGCAACCAGTATAGAGTACGGGTAGCAACCAGTATAGAGTACGGGTAGCAACCAGTATAGAGTACGGGTAGCAACCAGTGTAGAGTACGGGTAGCAACCAGTATAGAGTACGGGTAGCAACCAGTATAGAGTACGGGTAGCAACCAGTATAGAGTACGGGTAGCAACCAGTATAGAGTACGGGTAGCAACCAGTATAGAGTACGGGTAGCAACCAGTATAGAGTACGGGTAGCAACCAGTATAGAGTACGGGTAGCAACCAGTATAGAGTACGGGTAGCAACCAGTATAGAGTACGGGTAGCAACCAGTATAGAGTACGGGTAGCAACCAGTATAGAGTACGGGTAGCAACCAGTATAGAGTACGGGTAGCAACCAGTATAGAGTACGGGTAGCAGAACCTTTGAATCTGAAACTCTTAATTATGTTGATTTCTTCTCCCGCGCCTGACACCAATCATCGACTTCTCTGGCCACTCACCAATTGTTGAACTAGCCTTTTGTTTTGTGTATAAACCCCCTGCTACCCTTGCTGTCTTTAACTCCACTCCCTAACCTCCCCACTTCCCCCTCCCCACCTCCAACCCTCCCCCATTCTCCCTCCAACCGTTCCTCCTCCTTTCTCCCCCTCCCCGCTCACACATGCAGCACGCTGGGCGGCAGCCATGGGGTGCCGAGAGTGCACTTCAAGGGGCGGCAGGGTGACTACTACATCATGGTACGCAAGGCAGCTAAATGTTTTACTCCCTTGTATTGGCATAGCCGGGCTCCCTCGCTCCGACCTTCCCTGCCTGCCTGTGCCGAACACATGCTCTCTCTCTGTGTGCGTGTGCTCCTGTGCGGCAGCTGATGCCCCTGCTGACATTGTCGTGTTGCCCCCGCCTCTGCCTCACTTTCTCTTCGTCCTTCTGCTGTCTGTTTGCTGCCTCTGTGCGTGCGCTCGTGTGATGGCATGGCATGGCATGGCATGGTATGGCATGGCATGACAGGTGATGGATCTGTTGGGGCCAAGCCTGTGGGACGTGTGGAACAACCACAACCAAGCGTGAGTGTGTTGTGCTTGGCACTCTGGTGCCATGGCATTGCTGCACGCTAGGAATGTCGCGTGCCATCATATAGCATTGCCGCACGCTGGGATTGCTGCATGCCAACGGACATGGCCGCATGCCAACGGACATGGCCGCATGCCAATGGACATGGCCGCATGCCTGCCTGCTTGCAGAAACGTTTCTGTGGCCCGTTTAGATGGACGTTCCTTTCCCGCTTCCCACTTTCCCATGCCCCTTTCTATCGCTGTCTTTACTCTGCGCAGCCCCCTTCCCTTCCCCCTTGATCCCCGTCCTCTCTTCCCCTCCCCCGCCAGCATGTTAACAGAAATAGTGCTGTGCATTGCTACGGAGCATATACTCTCACATGACCTTATCCCCTTCTCCTTCCCCCTCCTCCGTTCCCCTTTCCTCGCCCGCCCTTCGCCTCGCCTCGCTTCCCCCCCCAACTCCCCCAGCATGACAGCAGAAATGGTGGCGTGCATAGCAGCGGAGTGCTCTCCTCTGCTATCACTTAATCCGCTTCGCCCTTGCCCGCCCGCCTCCCCCCTTCTCTCTGTCCCTCCCTTCGCCAGCATGTCAACGGAGATGGTGGCGTGCATAGCAGCGGAGGCACTCTCTATTCTCGAGAAGGTGCACGAACGAGGGTGAGTGTGCATGTGACAGCAGAGAGGGTGAGTGAGTGTGACATTAGCGAGGGAGGTGTGACAATAGAGAGGGCGAATGCACTCGCCTGTTTACCCAAGCCCTAGTCCCCTCTCTGGTCCCATCGCCCCTCCCTCTCCTGTTCCTTGCCCGCCCTTGCTCCGTTCACACGTCTCAATGCTCTCTGCCCCTTCTCTCTTCTTTGCCACATCTCAAACCCGTGTGCACTGCACCCGCCCCTTTGCCCCCCCCCCTTTGTCTAACTGCCTGCGTTCTCACCAGCTACGTGCATGGAGATGTGAAGCCCGAGAACTTTCTTCTTGGGCAGCCCGGGACTTCAGAGGAGAAGAAGCTGTACCTGGTTGACCTGGGCCTAGGTGAGTTTATGGATCTTTCTATACCACGAATAAAGAAGAAAAGAAATAAGAGGGGGGGAAAAGGGGGGGGGGGGGGGTGGGGGGGGGAGGTTTGCAGGATGTGTGGGTGCTCCAAGGAGAGCGATGTTGGAAAGATTTATCACGTCACCCTGCCTGCCTGTTCTCGCCACCCACCCCTTCTTCTCTGTTGCTCCCACTGTCTGTGCGTGGCGCAGCAACGAGGTGGAGGGACAGCAACACGGGGCAGCACGTGGAGTATGACCAACCACCTCACCTCACCCTGCCTTCTCCCGCTTCTCCACTTGTTCTTCCCTCCCTTTCTCTCTCTGCTCCCACCACGTGTGTGCCTCACAGCAACGAGGTGGAGGGACAGCAACACGGGGCAGCACGTGGAGTATGACCAACGACCAGACATCTTCAGGTGAAAAGGCCTCTTCAGGTGATTTGCCAGGCCGTTTTAGGCGGATTGCCAGTGCATTGCCAGACGTTCTCAGGTGAATCGCCAGAGATGGTCAGGTGGGCCAGGTAGCCGGATATTGTTTCTTGTTGTATAGCCAAAGTCCGCAACAGCCACCTGCGCTACGTGGGTTGCACGCGCATCTGGGGCGCAGCGGCATTGATATCCCCATGCATGCACTACAATTAACACACCCCCTCACTCGCTCCCCCTCCCTCCACAGGGGCACGGTGCGCTATGCGGGGGTACACGCTCACCTGGGCCGAACGGGCAGTCGCAGGGATGACTTGGAGTCGCTGGCTTACACGCTTGTCTTCCTGCTGCGCGGCAGACTGCCCTGGCAGGGCTATCAGGTGAATTATCAGGTGGCAGGGGATATTATGTAAATTTCAGGATCTAGAGGTACCTGCTGAAATTTCAGGTGAGAGCATTCAGGTTGTCAAGTGGGGGAGTTATCAGGTGAGCTCTCAGGTGAGCCCTCAGGTGAGCTCTCAGGTGAGCTCTCAGGTGAGCTCTCGGGTGGCAGAGGTAGCAGAGATGGCAAAGCAGGCGCTTCAAGAGCAAAACGGCTGCAACCCAAGTCAGTGTGTGGTTGTAATTTCTGCCAACTCTCTTCTGCACCACTCATACTTCTGCCCATCTCTCTCGCCCCCATCAGGGCGACAACAAGGGCTTTCTGGTGTGGAAGAATAAGATGAGCACCTTACCCGAGATGCTCTGCTGCTTCTGTTCCATTTGCCCTCGCGCTCTCTCACTACTTCACCTCTCTCTTTCGCTCTCTCGCACTCTCTCTGCCCCATCTCTCTTCCCCCCTCTCAGGGCGACAACAAGGGCTTTCTGGTGTGCAAGAAGAAGATGAGCACATCACCTGAGATGCTGTGCTGCTTCTGTCCGCCGCCCTTCAAGCTCTTCCTGGAGTACGTCGTCAGCCTCAAGTTCGACGAGCGCCCCGACTATGCCAAGTGCGCCGCCATGTTTGATCCAATTCTCAGCCCCAACCCGGCTTTGCTGCCTCTCAACACAGAGGGGGCACGGTCTCTCAAGGTGGGTGTCAGCGGTCCTGGAGTGGAATGTAGTGCGGTGCGGTAGGGTGCAGTGTGTGGTAGTTTAGCCCGTCAAGCCCGCCACCCCCCTTCACGTCCCTTCAAGCTCTTCCTGGAGTACGTGGTCAGCCTCAAGTGCGACGAGCGCCCCGACTATGCAGTGCGCCGCCTTTGTTCGTCCCCATCCTCTCCCCCAACCCGGCACTGCTCCCTTTGAATACGGAGGGTGCACGCTCACTGAAGGTGCGTGGTGGTTATCCTGGGTGGACTATGGTGGTGCACCATAGCTCACCCATGGTGGGTCGCGCTGTTAGTCAAGCGTGCCGCCATGTTCGACCCCATCCCATCCTCACTCACCCATCCCCAACCCTGCGCTGCTCCCCCTCAACACGGAGGGCGCGCGGCCTTTCAAGGTGCGTGGTGGTTTTCCTGGGTGAACTATGGTGGGGTGTGCTGTTAGTCAAGTGTGCCGCCATGTTCGACCCCATTCTCAGCCCCAATCCCGCCCTGCTGCCGCTCAACACGGAGGGGACACGGTCTTTCAAGGTAAGCACTGGTTTGGGGTTTGGTGTGGTGCAGTGTGATGCAGTGTGAGTAATTCGATTTAAAGTATGTGGTTGGCTTCAAGTACATCCATATCTATGTTTGCACATGTCCTATCTCTATCCACACATTCCCACGCACACTTTGGTGCACACATCCCCATGCATGTGGTGGTGGCAGGTGCAGGTGGGGCAGAAGAGGGGGCGGGGCGAGGGGGGAGAGGAGGACGCGGAGGAGGATCAGCTGAGGAAGAAGATTCGCCTGGGCATGCCGGCCACCCAGTGGATCTCCGTGTATAGTGCCAGGCGGCCCATGAAGCAAAGGTAGGTGCGAGGTTGTGTACAGGGTAGTGTTGTTGGCGCACGAGAGATGTGTGCGCACGTGAGATGTGTGCGCACGAGAGATGTGTGCGCACGAGAGATGTGTGCGCACGAGAGATGTGTGCGCACGAGAGATGTGTGCGCACGAGAGATGTGTGCGCACGAGAGATGTGTGCGCACGAGAGATGTGTGCACACGAGAGATGTGTGCGCACGAGAGATGTGTGCGCACGTGCTGCACAGTAATGGGTTGAGGCACTGCCAGGGCACTGACATGCGGGCGATGCACTGGCAGGGCACTGACATGTGGGCCATGCAGTGGGATTGCCATTCCATGTACAGCTCCAGGCGGCCCATGAAGCACAGATACCACTACAACAGGGCTGATTCCCGCTTAGCCCAGCGCGTGGGGAAGGGCAACGAAGATGGGCTGCCCATCAGCTGTGGACTAGGCCTCCTCATGCTACGACCTGTCTTTCCCCTTCCTGTACCCACTGCTTTTCTCGTGCCTGTCAGGTATCATTACAACGTGGCAGACTCGCGCCTAGCACAGCACGTGGAGAAGGGCAACGAGGACGGGCTACACATCAGCAGCGTGGCCTCCTGTCAGAACCTCTGGGCGCTCATCATGGACGCCGGTACCAACTTCACAGCGCAGGTCTACGACCTCTCACATGTCTTCCTGCCCAAGGTGGGTTCGCATTCCTGCCCAAGGTAAGTGTGTTGTGGGTGCTGTGGCTGGTGGGTCCAGAGTCGCCTGTTAGCTATTAGCTCTTTGCTATTAGCACTCGTAACAAACAAACACCAACCCCACCCCCCTCCCCATTGTTTCTCTCTTTCCCCTCCCCCTGTTGGCTCAGGAGTGGATAATGGAGCAGTGGGAGAAGAACTTTTACATCACAGCAGTGGCGGGCGCCAGCAATGGCAACTCCCTCGTTGTCATGTCCAAAGGTGGGCTCGCGGGGGTGGATTGTGAGAAGTGATAGTCCAAGGTGTAGTCGCAAGGGTGAAAGGTGAAACTTCATGTTCTAATTTGACGTAGCCACTCTTCTCAATGGCCTGTTGCCCATTTTGCCTGTGTTTCCACTCCCTCTCTCGCATCTCTCTCTGCATTCCATTCACTCTCCATCTCCCCATCCACACTCTCTCACCCCCTCTCTCCTCCCTCGCCCCATTTTCTCAAGGTCACTGGCAGCTTCCCTCTCTCCCTGTCCATTCTAATTCATCCCTCCTCTCTTCTCCCTTGCTGCTTCTTCCAGGCACGCCCTACACACAGCAATCATACAAGGTCAGCGACAGCTTCCCCTTCAAGTGGATCAACAAGAAGTGGCGCGAGGGCTTCTACATTCAAGAGGCGCCTGGTTTCTAAACCCGCCCTCTCCCTCGCTCTCTCCCTCTGTTCATCTCCCCTCCTCCCTCTCCTGCTACCCCCCCACCCAGGCACGCCCTACACGCAGCAGTCGTACAAGATCAGCGACAGCTTTCCGTTCAAGTGGATCAACAAGAAGTGGCGCGAGGGCTTCTACATTCAAGAGGCGCCTGGTTTCTAAACCCGCCCTCTCCCTCGCTCTCTCCCTCTGTTCATCTCCCCTCCTCCCTCTCCTGCTACCCCCCCACCCAGGCACGCCCTACACGCAGCAGTCGTACAAGGTCAGCGACAGCTTTCCCTTCAAGTGGATCAACAAGAAATGGCGAGAGGGCTTTTATGTGACCTCCATGGCCACTGCTGGTAGCCGCTGGGGCGTTGTCATGTCCCGCAACGCCGGCTTCACTGACCAGGTCTGTGGTACGGTGCTGTGCAGTGCTGTGTGGTGCGGTCAGGTGTTGGTCACTCAAGTGCAATCACAGGGCTCCTATGTGACCTCCATGACCACTGCTGGCAGCGGCTGGGGGGTCGTCATGTCCTGCAACGCAGGCTTCACCGACCCGGTGCAGTGCGGTGCAGGGTGATATGGTGGGGTACATTGCAGTGCGGTACGGTGTGGTACAGTGTGGTAGTGGCTTGGGTGGAATCACAGGGCTTCCACGTGACGTCTCTGGCCACTGCTGGCAGGCGATGGGGGGTCGTGATGTCCCGCATTGCAGGCTTCTCTGACCAGGTGCTGTGCAGTGCGGTGCAGTCAGGTCCATTGTGATGTGTTCCGGTGTGTGTCTCAGCGAGTCCAACATCTAACATGTGGGCGCCATGCGTGTGCTCGCTTGTGCATGTGTTGCATACAAGTCAAGCCGTCATCAGCAAGGGCATTCACTGAAACATGGCCTTGGCTTGGCTTCCCATGGTGTCACATGGGTTGTCGCATCACCGCCCTCCCCCTCTGCCCATATTCCTCCGCTTCCCCAATCTGTACTCGTTTTAAGCAGGTGGTGGAGCTGGACTTCCTGTACCCCAGCGAGGGCATTCACAGGCGGTGGGACATGGGGTATCGCATCACGGCCACCGCTGCCACGTGGGATCAGGCCGCCTTCCTGCTCAGCGTGCCGCGCAGACGACCCGCGGACGAGACCCAGGAGACCCTCAGAACGTCCGCCTTCCCCAGTACCCACGTCAAGGTGGGCTTGTGTGGTGGTGCACGTATGTGCAGGTGAATGTATCTGCGGGCGAATACATGTCAAGCTGTGCGCAAGTTTTTTTTTTTTTTTTTTTTTTTTTTTTTTTTTTTTTTTGGCAGCTGTACTTCTTGATGCTTTACAGTGGAAATTCCTGTATTCTCAATACCCTCTGTATTTGCCTTTCTGTGCATGCACCCTTCTGGTTTGGCATGTTATCGCATGGTGTATGTTCTGGGGTGGCATGCATTGTCTTATGTGCAGGAGAAGTGGGCCAAGAATCTGTACATTGCATCCGTCAGCTACGGCCGAACCGTCTCCTAAAGCTCGTGCTCACTCCCTCACTCACTCACTCACACTCACTCACTCACCTTAGTCATATACTGACTACTCACTCATTCGTGACTCAAGCATTCACTCGCTCCCTCTCTCCCTCACACTCGCTTACCCAACCACTGGTTGGGCTTTTCCCCATAGCGCCCTCTAGCCCGAGCCAATTTAGCCCGAGCCACTGCTGCAGCGCTGCCCACGCCCGAACTCGCAAATTGCTGCTTCGAGGCCTCATCCCGTCCCAGCGTCCATCTTCATGGGTGTAGAGTTGGGTTTGGGATTGTGCGTCCTGTCACGTCATGTCGGCTCGCCTTGCACAATTGCAGCCAGCCCGTGCAATGGGTGGTCAGATGCTCAAATGAAGTGTACCCTAGTGGGAGTGACTCCCAGCTTGTCAATCTTTTCTCTCCTGCTCGTACCGTGCTAAGAGACATTAAGACCAGAACTTATGATTTAACCCGGGGGCTGAATATCCCGGTGGTGTATGTACAAATCGGGAAATATATAGTGTACTGTTCTTTTGGCTCACAGCACTGGGCTATTACCACTAGGCACCATCCTGTGAGAAACGGGTTCACATATATGTGAGGAATGTTGCGGAAAAGAGGAAGTCATTCCGTCGAACGCGCGCAGCCGTTGGATCCAATGGTCCCAGTTACCAGCCAATAATCCCTCAATTATTTGGAAACTGGGGAAGTAATAATTCCTCAAATCACTGGAATGGCTCAGGATGGACGAATGACAGGGTACGCGCAACTGATGAGCCGTCGATCTCTCGCTCCCGCTTTTTGTGTAGTTTCTGACCGTGGATGTCGCGAGGAGGCGACAAAGATCGTATTATTGCCTGGAGTCACCACCACAAGCCTCGGCTTGTTCGCGCTTCGAAGCCAAGCAGACCAACCAAGCCCAAGGCTCCCTCGAGGCCAATCATTCAGAATTCCTTTTTGGCAAAGCAAGAGCAGTTCTGCACCTCCCTCTTACGACAACCAGTTACTCCGATCGGCACGTTTTCTCTCCTCAATAATCCAGCAGCATCGACAATTTGACTTGCTCGCTCATCCAGGGAGATTTATTAGCCTGTGAGTCACAAAGCAGAAATGCGTTACGCCTTGCTATTTTTAGAGCATGACATATAGGGTTCTTGACGAGGATGAATGCTGGAGACTGGAACACTATATGGCGAGCCAAAGCGACGGGGGTGGGGGTCAAAGAGACGGACTCAAAGGCGAGCCAAGACCCTCGCGTGGGGCATCTCAGACGAGTCGGTCATCACGAAATCCAGAATTATACAGATCCCGTGCCATCAGGCGGCAGACACGCCATCAGTCGGTGAATTCGCCCCCGCGCATCACGCGGAAGCTTCGCGTCGAGATGGACAGCTCTGCGGGCCGCGCGTGCCTGCCGATCGTCCTGGCACTGCTTGCAGCACTTCCAGGACGAACAGCTGCAAGAATGACAGGTGCGGGCTCGTCGCGTGTCGCTAGGAGGAAGGCAGGCTTTTGTTCCAGGCAGGCAGGCCGCAGCACGCCTCTCGTTGCGGGGCAGTAATGCAGCTGGTACAAAAACTCGGTGGTTGATTGGCGGGCATAGATTGCAGAGTGAACACAAACGGAGAACATCCCAGCGGGAATAGAGTGCACAGAACCCATATCGGAGCACTGCCTATTATAACGTGTCTCCCTAGCTCCAGAACAGACGATCCTCAGGGTCAGTTAGGCTATAAGAGACTTCTATAGGATCCATTGCTTCAGCAATTTGAGACGTCGTGAAACTTTCGTAGTCATTTCTATGTGCTTCATTATCATTCGTTACCGCTGTTCGGCTCCTCTGTTTCCATCGTCATTCCCTGCAGACTCTCCAATAACACTCCTCAGGACAGAAAGGCGGCTACTAGTCACTGGTAACTCTCCGCCTATAGCGTTCCTTCCTTCTTCAAGGACTTGATGTCCTTTCCGCCGCTGCTTGAGTCCCTTGGCGCGTCTTCCGTCGGGTGCTCTGGAACCCGTGTGACATTTCAGTCGCTTCCCTTAGACCCTTTTATGCCATTTCCCCCGCTCCGTGGCACACCTCGTCATGACTGTGTCGAACGCCGCGCCGTAGCAAGCCCAGAGGGCTAACCTTGGAGCTTGTACTCGCCCTCTCGCGCCTCTTTTCCTCTCGCCCACGCTTGTGACTTGTTCAACTCTCTAGTGTTCTCCACTGCCTCTTATTCTCTTGCCACACTCCACCTCTCCCTCCCCTCCATCCCTCCCTCCGCCCGCCTCCCTCCCTCCATCCCCTCCTCCCGCCATTCCTGCGCGCACCAGACGCGGATGCCGCGTTGAATGGGAAGCTGCTATTCATTCTGCTCTGCGGGGCCACGGTCGTCCTTCTCGTCGTCTTCGTCGCCCTCCTCGCCCTCCTCATCTCACGCCGCTACCGAGGTGCGTTGCTCGGCCTCCTCATCTCACGCCGCTACCGAGGTGCGTTGCTCGGCCTCCTCATCTCACGCCGCTACCGAGGTGCGTTGCTCGGCCTCCTCATCTCACGCCGCTACCGAGGTGCGTTGCTCGGCCTCCTCATCTCACGCCGCTACCGAGGTGCGTTGCTCGGCCTCCTCATCTCACGCCGCTACCGAGGTGCGTTGCTCGGCCTCCTCATCTCACGCCGCTACCGAGGTGCGTTGCTCGGCCTCCTCATCTCACGCCGCTACCGAGGTGCGTTGCCTCACCCCGCCATTCCCGCGCTCCACGTGAGTCGCTCGCCATCACCTCCGCATCTCCGGGCCATTCTTTGAGTCAACACAGTAGTCAACACAAAGTCATTAATCAGCTCCCTTGAGGTGCGCTGCTCCTTTCCCGGTTGACGCCTGCTTCTCCATGTGCACCTCTCATGGCTGCAGTAACTTCAGGCCACTTGTCGCGAGGCCACAGAGTGCCGAGCGCAGCCTCACACTCCCGCTGCTCCCCTCTGACCGTGTCCGTCCGTCTCTTCTTCACCGCTCACCTCATCCCCTCCCCTGTGAGCAAACGGCTGTTTGTGACTCTATCACAGAGCCTCCGTTCTGCCCTCATTCTCCACCCCCACACCCGCTCCCTGCCTCCCACCACGTCCCTCTTGCGCTCTTTCAGCTGCCCGTTCGGCTGCCCCCGCGGACACGGCAAAGAAGCTGCCCCTGAGGGCCATCTGGAGGGCGACGTCGAGTCTGGGGAGGGCGCAGCAGGTGGGGGAGGGGGAGTTTGGGCGCGCGTACCTGGGGAAGAATCGGGGGGAGGCGTGGCTCGTCGTGGTCTCCACGTCAGACAACATTGACGTCATCAAAGCTTTTCGGAGGGAGGTGAGAGCAGGGGAGCAGGGGAGAGGATCAGGATTGGGGAGGTTTTGGGTTTGGGGGACAAGAGGGGGACAGAGGGGAACAAGAAGGGAAACGAGCTGGGTTATGGAGGGGAAAGCGGGACAGGGAGCGAATAAACGAAAAGAGGAAAAGATAGAAACTGAACGGGTATGTCAAACTCTCAGGTCGAGGGTCTCGGGTTTAAGCTAGCAGATCACACACCCTCCAGGTGACTTTTGAGTCGACTCAAAAGACACCCTCCCCCCTCCAACAACCCCCCCCCACCCCCCCCCAACCCCCTCCACGTCAGGTGGACACCCTGGGCCCTGTGTCACACCCGTCATTGGTGCGCCTGGTGGGGTGGGCGGAGGAGGTAGGGCGCAACATGCTTGTGTACAACCACCCCACCCCACTGCCGCACCCCTCCGACGTTCCCCCCTCCCCCTCCCCCTCCTCCTTCCGCCGGGGCGGTGGCTCCTCTGCTGGCGGCGCTAAGAGAATCCCAGGCGCTGCTGCTGGTGCTGGTGGTGGTGGTGCTGCTGCTGCCAGTGGTGCTTCTTTCGCAGGGCCCAGCAGTGTTGGTACCAGCGGTGGTGCGGGTGCCAATCGAGTTTTTGATGCTCTCGGCCCTGCTGCCGCCGCTGCTGGTGGCCCTGCTGCCGCCCCTGACGGTGCCGCTGCTATCTGGGCTGATGTTGCTGGCGCTGAGGAGGCAGCGGGCGGGGGCACGCTTCTGGAGTATCTGCTTCGGCACCAGCAATTGCAGCAGCAGCAGCAGCAGCAGCAGCAGCAGCAGTTGACAGGCGGCGCATTGGGAGGTGAGCCGCTGGTGGTGTGGAAAGGCAGGGGCGACGAAAGGGGGGAGATGGGGGGTGGAGATGATGAGCGTGTTGGGATAGACTGAGCTGATGTCTCCATGTTCGGAAAGGCCGGGGTAAGATCAAGATCGCACCGCTGCGAGGCAGGACCTCGCACACTCGCACCATACTTGTATCAACAGAGTTCTCGTTCTCACTCATCACCCTGTCTCTGCCCGTCCCTCACACACCACTCTATCTCCTGTTTGAGCGCCAGGTGGACATTGCGCACAGCCTGGCAGCAGCCCTGCACCACCTGCACTGCTGCGTGGACCTGTCCCCACTCGCACTGAACCTTGCTGCGAGGCAGACCTCTCACACTCGCACTGTACCTTGCTGCGAGGCAGTACCTCTCACACTCGCACCATGCTTGCCTCCTATCACCACTGTCTTCGCACCCTGTCTCTGCCCCTGTCTCACAGACGCCACTCTATCTCTCCCCTTTGAGCGCCGGGTGGAGATAGCTCACAGCCTGGCAGCAGCCCTGCACCACCTGCACTGCTGCGTGGACCCCCCCCTGGTGCACCGCCAAGTCAACTCCGGCAACGTGCTGCTGCTGCCGCACTGGCCCTTCGTGAGTGACCCTGTGCCCCTCTGCCTGTGCCCCTCTGCCTGTGCCCCTCTGCCTGTGGCCCTGTGCCTGTGCCCCTCTGCCTGTGGCCCTCATTCTGTTTTTTGCAGCCACTGCATCCCAACAATTCTCACAACTTAACAACAGTTTTGTTTTGCGCCCCTCTCTGTGCCCCTATCTCCTCCTGCCAGGCGCGGCTTGCCAACGTGGGGGAGGTCAAGGGGCTGCCCTACGCGCCCACCATTTATGTGCGGCGCAACCGGGCAGCATATGTTGACCCGGAGTACTTTATCGCTCTCAGGGCGTCTGCTGCTAGCGATGTGTACAGGTGGGTGTGTGTGTGTGTGTGTGTGTGTGTGTGTGTGTGTGTGTGTGTGTGTGTGTGTGTGTGCGTGTGTGTGTGTGTGTGTGTGTGTGTGTGTGCGTGCGTGTGTGTGTGTGTGTGTGTGTGTGTGTGTGTGTATGTGTGTGTGTGTGTGTGTGTGTAGGAGCAGCGTTACCGGTGTGTGTGAGTAGGAGCATTACATGTCAGTGTAATGGCGCTACGTCTCAGTGTAATGACGTTACGTATCAGAGTAATGATGTTACATGTTATGGTAATGGCGTTACATGTCAGTGTAACGGCATTGCAGGTCAGTGCGACCGTGATACAGGTCACTGTCGTTACACGTCAGTCGTCAGTATAACAGGATTACGTCTGTGTAGTGGCCTTACACGCCAATGTGTTGTCAATCCCTCACACCCCTGTTGCGCTCCTTCCCTTCTCCACAACCCCTCTCCACCCCTCCTTGCACAACTAGTTTCGGCATTATCCTGCTGAAGCTTCTAACCGGCCAGCCAGCAGGGCAGATCGACCCAGCCACAGGCCTTAAGTTCCCTCGCTCCCCTTTCTCCCTCCCTGCCCCGCTCTCCCCCTCGCCGCCCCCCAGTTTCGGCATAATACTGTTCGAGCTCCTAACTGGCCAGCCAGCATAATCCCCTCGCCCCCACTCCCCTCCCTCTCCCCCACTCCCCTCCCTCTCCCCTCCTCCCCCCCCCCTCTCCCCTCCTCCCTCCCCTCTCCTTCCCCCCAGTTTCGGCATAATACTGCTCGAGCTCCTAACCGGCCAGCCAGCAGAGCAGATCGACCCGGCCACAGGTCGCCGCGCCTACCTCAACATACCCGCGCTCACCGCGCTCATCCGCGCGCACCACCTTGCGCCGCTCCTCGACCCCGCGCTGCCCTTCCCCCCCACGCCCGCGCCCACCGCGCTGCAAGCCCTGGCGTCCCTCGCCGTTGACTGCACTGTCCGCCACGCGAAGCAGCGCCCAGACGCGTCCGCCGTGCTTCTACAGATGGAAGGGATTCGCGAGGCGGTGCAGAACGGCCTAGCCGTGCAGGGCCGCGAGGGCGACCACCTCTCGCTCTCCATACCTGCTGGCTCGCTTGCCGAGGCGGAGGCTCGGGGGAGGCTCGGCAGCAGGAGCGGGGGGCTGGTGGGCGGGTCGGGCAGGGAATGGGGGTCAGCTGGGGAGTTGTCTGGCTCGCACGGCCCTTCTGGTTGGAGTGCAGGGGGCCCCCTGTCTGTTGACTCTGGAAGCGGCATGAGCGGCGGAGGAAGCTTCTCAGAAGGCTCATCTGCGTTCTATTCTGGCGAACAGCCACGTGGGATCATCTCGTCTTCGTCCTACCCGCAGGCGCTCTCCTCCCTGCCCCATCAACCGCCCTCCCCCCATCCACCCCCCTCCCCCCATACACCCATCAAGCGCTCCTCCCTGCCCCGCACGCACACTGCCCCGCTGGTCTCCCCCCGCCTCCTCCCCACTCTCCCCCTCTTCGAAGCGCCGCACTTCTCCTTCCAGGCGCTACAGCAGGCTACGGAGGGGTTCGCCCCGCACAGGGTGCACCGGCAGGCGCACCTGGGGGAGGTGTACCTGGGGACGATCAAGACCGTGGGGGAGGTGATGGTGGTGCGACAGATGGCGCCATGGGCGGGGGAAGGGGGAAGCACTGGGGGAGGGGGAAGCTTTGGGGGAGATAGACGCGTGGTGGGGAGCCAGAGCGGGGAATTTGGGAGGGGAGGGGAGTGGGGGGCGGGGGAGGAGGCGCGGGAGAGGGAGAGGGAGAGGGAGCGAGAGAGGGAACGGGAGAGGGAGAGGGAGAGGGACGTGTGGGTGAGCCGCACGATAGCGGAGGCGCACGCGTTGAGGAGGGTGGTGCATCGCAATCTGGTGACTCTGCTGGGATTCACCGTCACCACTGACCAGTGCCTGCTCGCTTACAACCACACCGACGCCCCTGACCTCTTCCACTCGCTGCACCTCCCAGGTGAGGCGTCTACCAGGTGAGGCGTCTACCAGGTGAGGCGTCTACCAGGTGAGGCGTCTACCAGGTGAGGCGTCTACCAGGTGAGGCGTCTACCAGGTAAGGCGTCTACTAGGTGAGGCGATTACCAGGTGGGGCGAGCTGATATCAGTCTATAACTCCTTTCATGCTCTGAGTGGTCACGACCCACAAGCACACCTTACTTTCTCACCCTCCCTCCCTCCCTCCCTCCCTCTCTCCGCGCCCTTCCCTCCCGCCCTCCCTGTACCATGGAGCAGCGCAGGAGCCCATGGGGTGGCAGGCGAGGGTGCAAGTGGCGCACGGGGTGGGCGAGGGGCTGCTGCAGCTGCACGTGTGCTCGCACCCCCACATCCTGCACGGCGCACTCGTCTCACGCAACGTGCTGCTGCCACGCGGCCAACCCCCCCAGGCAAGTGCTGCTGCTGCGCACTACCCCCCCTGGGCAAGTGCGTTTGTTGAGGCGAGTGATTCAATGCTATCCTGCCACACGCTGCTTCCTTTTCTCGCCTGTCTTTGCCTCTCATCCCGCCCGCCCGTCTAACCCTCTTGTTGTCCCCAGTCCGCTTACTGCCCCTTTTGTTCGTCCCCATCCGCCCATCCCCCCCAGGCAGCTATTTTGACTTTGGTATGTCACACTTCCCGGACCGTTCACTCCCCCACTCCCCCACTCAAACACCCCCTGTTCCCCCATCCCCCCCCAACAGCTATTCGACTTTGGCATGTCACACTTCGCAGAGACCCGCAACGACGACTTCGCCTCGCCCTACTGCCATGCGTAAGCTCCCCTCGCCTCGCCCTACTGCCATGCGTAAGCTCCCCTCGCCTCGCCCTACTGCCATGCGTAAGCTCCCCTCGCCTCGCCCTACTGCCATGCGTAAGCTCCCCTCGCCTCGCCCTACTGCCATGCGTAAGCTCCCCTCGCCTCGCCCTACTGCCATGCGTAAGCTCCCCTCGCCTCGCCCTACTGCCATGCGTAAGCTCCCCTCGCCTCGCCCTACTGCCATGCGTAAGCTCCCCTCGCCTCGCCCTACTGCCATGCGTAAGCTCCCCTCGCCTCGCCCTACTGCCATGCGTAAGCTCCCCTCGCCTCGCCCTACTGCCATGCGTAAGCTCCCCTCGCCTCGCCCTACTGCCATGCGTAAGCTCCCCTCGCCTCGCCCTACTGCCATGCGTAAGCTCCCAGCTTCCACCTGCAACCAACCTGCCTGCCACACCAAATCCCCACCACCTTCCCCGCACCCACCTTCCTTGAACCCACCTGCCCCGCACCCACCTGCCCCGCACCCACCTGCCCCGCACCCACCTGCCCCGCACCCCACGTGCCCTGCACCCAAACCCTGTCCGCCCTCTCCTTGCACCTGCCCCCCCTCTCTCTTTCATTCCATGCAGGTACGTCGCTCCAGAGTGCGCCACCACAGGGGAGACGGACAAAACCACCGACATGTACGCTTATGGCGTGCTGCTTCTTGAGCTCATTTCTGGGAAGCTTCCGTACGATGACGATCGTGATCCGGTGCAGCTGAGTGACTGGGTAAGTTCTGAATCTCCCAGTCCTGTAGTTCTCACGCCAGTGGGCCTTGGGAATCCCATGTTGCCCACTTGACGCGGCCGTGGGGACCCTTGTCTTGCTTGCGGTGTGCCTGTTCGTTGTACTCCGCTCCCAATGGACCTCGTCCCCATGGAAATGATTTTTGAGGCGTCTCAAAAGTCGACCTCACCTCATAGAGATTTATCATGCACACATAAAAGTGATGCATGCGCACACCCATGTCGCTCATTCGGATAGCGGTTTGATTACCCTGCCATGCTGCATGGTTGTGTGTGATGGGATGTTGCCATGCGCCATGCAGGCACGGCAGCAGGACTGGAGCAGCACAGAGTCAATAAAGGAGATGGTGGATCCGCTTCTAGAGGGGATGTACAATGAGGATGAGGTAAGCCCTGTGCTTCTGGCATGCATAGAATCAACCTCAGCTCCCTTGCTGAACCTCTATCTTGTTTTTTTGGCTCGTCTTTGAGCCACTCATTCACAGACTTCACATTTTCTCTTCCCCTCTCATGGGTCAGGTGGTTATATTGGCGTCCCTTGCAATGCGATGCATCAATGTGGATAAGAGGGAGCGGCCGACAGTCAAAGAGGTGTGTAATGGTCATGGCAGGAGGATCCATGCATGTGTGGATGGTTTACATGTGTGCATGCACTCGCACACACACATGCACGAGCGGGTGTGTGCTCACACACGCATACGCCAAAGTACACAAATACACCCATGCATGCATGCGCACATGCTATGATGCCATACCGTTGTACTTTTACTGTCCTTTGCAATCCATGCTTAACAGGTGCATGATCTCTTGGCTTCTAACGTGGGGCAAGAGGAAGGCAGCCCCTAATAGTCACCCTCCAAAGACGCTTCACGAAGAAATGCCTACAATTTAAAGTCGTTATTGGGGAGAAAGGGGGATATTGATTGATTTTGCTGTTTTGGGGTGATGCTTTGGCTTCTTATGGGTTTGCAATAACTATCGGAGGGTTATGATCTTTCATGTATTGTGCCTTTTTTATATGGGTTGTGCTTTTGGCTCTGGCTTGTTGCTGATTTATGAAGTGAAATAAGGGGCATCCCACCTACCAAGTTGTGCCTGAAGTGCTCGCGAACGTAACATACTGATGTGCACTCTTCAGATCAAAGCATTCTCGCACAGAAATGCAGCCCGTCGCCACACTCGCAACAAGGCCACAGATTATCGAAGTAACCGGATGTTTGGCGAAAACGATTTGCGACGAAAGTTCTCGAGGTTTGCCCATCAGGATAATCCCGAGGCGAATGAATGAACTCCCCAAAGCTCCAGTCCAGCTGCTGCTGATATCTGCCCTGTGGGGAAAACTAGCATTCCATATTTCTATTCCTCGAGTTAGGTGTACATTAGGACTAAGGGTCTTCTAGCCTTGATTTGGTGGAATCCAAGCTTTCATTCAGTCGGAAGCTGCTGCATTTCCTCCGCGTCACGCGCGTCGCCGCCTCAATGGCGCGGCTGTGTCTCTTACTGACTGCGCTCGTCGTCGCTGTCGTCTCTGTTGACAATGTCGCCTGCATTCGCGGCGAGCTTTCTGCGCACGCGCTCGCTTCAGGCGAAGGATCACAGACGGTGAACTCCGTTTCGTCGAAGGAAACTTCGACTCTGGTCAGACGGCGGCTTCTTCAAGCCAAGGTGGTCTGCCGCGCACGCGCTCCCCTGTCGGACCCCCCTCTACTCTTCCCCAAGTACCTCTAATTCACCGTCATTCCTTTTCGTATTTGATAAAAACCGACATAAGGAGGCTAGCGGTCAGCAGCCTGATATGTTTTGCTGGTTTAGCGCATCAAAATGGCAGGCTCTTTCTTATGCAACGGCTCACAACTTTAGGCGTGAGTGGCATGATTTGGCATGGAAATGGCTTGCTTGATACGTTTGCTTTCCGGAATGAGGCTGCTCGTGAGGCATTCCAAACGATGTGCATCGAATGACGTGTCGTGTTCTTGGTATGATGATGACGTGGCATGCGTACAATGCCCCATGATTGCCTGACCTGTTCTGCCACGTCAGAAGCGCCTTCGTCGCAAGCAGCAGTTGGACGACGGTCCGGGGAGCGCATTGGCGGAAGAAGCCCCGCGGAAGGCCAAGAAGCGCGCTGGGGACGCTGCAGCGGCCGCGGAGGGGTGAGCGGAGTGGGAAGAAGGGTGGGGAAGGGGGAGATGGACGTGTGGGAAAGAAGAGACGGGGGGGAAGCTGGGATGGTTTTTTGGTTGGGTGAGGGGGGTGCACGGAAAGGCGGAAGGGTGCTGGGGGAACAAGGTTTTTGTCCCTTTTTTCACCTGCTATACAGCATCCCCATCGCATCCCCGTCGCATCCTCATCGCATCCCCATCGCATCCCCATCGCATCCCCATCGCATCCCCGTCGCATCCTTCGCCCTCTCACCCGCCGTTCCGCTTACCTCCGCCGCCTGTCCCTTCTCTTCCCGCCCCCAACCATCTTCTCCCTTTCCGCGCCTACCCCCGCGCGCCTCACCCTTCCAGAGCCGCGCAGCCCCAGCCGCAGCTGGACACGATCCCCGCACAGCTGCCCGCGCAGATCCCCGAAACCCCCCCCAGTACCGCCACGCTGCTCGACCCCGTCCCCACGGACGTGCCCTCCGCGTCGGACCAGCCGTCCCTCTCCACCTCCTCCGCGCTCTCCGCCTCCGCGGTCTCTCCCGCGGATGTTCTCCCCCGCGGACGAGCTGGCGGGGCTGACCCAGCGCGTGGCCAAGAGTGTGAGGGACGTGCGGGGGTATGCGAAGCTGAATGTGTCCACGGCGACAGTACAGCAGGTGAGTGGGGTGGGGGACCACAGCCCTGTACAATCCTCCACGCACATTGCTTCGTCTCGACCCCTTGCAACCCCCTTGCACCCCGTTGCAACCCTTCGTAACCTCTTTCCACCGCGCACAGGTGTGCGAGATGGTGGACCACAGCCTGGCGCCATGGACGCGCATCCCTCAGATCCGCGACGGCATGGGCGCTGCAGGCATGGTGGCGCCCAGCCTTATCAAGACCATCAGCCAGCGCGCCCGGGTGAGCATGGGTTGGGAGAGGGGGGTGGCGAATGGCATGGGAGCAGACGACATGGGCGCTGCAGGCATGGTGGCGCCCAGCCTCATCAAGACCATCAGCCAGCGCACCCGGGTGAGCATGGGTTGGGTGGGGGTGGGGAACGGCATGGCATGGGGGCGGACGCCGGATGGCATGGGCGCTGATCACTTCATGTCATGTGCTCGCCATGTGATGTGATGTGATGTGAGGGTGGTGGACGGACGGGTCCGGTGCCCCTTCCCCATCCGTCTCTCTCCCATCCCGCTCCTATCCCTTCCCCGCATTCCTTATCACCCACCCCCCCATCAGTTCATGTCGTGCGCGGGCCATGTGAGGGTGGTGGACGGGTCAGTCTATTTCCGCCTGGGGGGATTCATCACCGTCCCCTACCGAGTCAGGCGCTTCCTGCAAACCGTGCAGATCATCCAGGTGAGTCTCAGTCGAGATTCCTCGAAACATCTGCCACTGCTGCTGATTTTTTAGTCGATGAAAAACTCTTCACTGCTGCTGCGCCATTCGCCCTTCTCTTGTGGGCCCTCTTATCCCTCGCAGCCCTCTCACCCCATTCGTCCTTCTCTCACCCTTCCTTATCCTTCCTTTTTTGACTTCCCACACCCGGCCGGCCGCGTTTCCCTTGCCAAACGCCCCTCTTCCTCGAGTCTTCTCTCGCCAGTACTCTCATCTCCTGCCTCCTTCAATCACTCCCATGATCTGCTCTGCACTATCTCTCGCATCTGTGCCTCCCTTCCACTCCCCTCTCCCACTCATCCATGCCTCCCATAAGCAACCCCTTGACTCCCTCCCGCTGCATCTTCCCTGCACCTCTCCAAACCCCCCGCTTTCCCCTCTCCCCTCCTCCCCTCTCTTCCGCACCCCTCCCTTCCCCCTCCGTCTCCCCCCCTTCTCCCCCCTTTCTCCCCCCGTTTCCCCCCTTCTTCCCCCTTTCTCCCCCCGTTTCCCCCCTTCTTCCCCCTTCTCTCCCCCTTCTTCCCCCTTCTCTCCCCTTCTTCCCCCTTCTCTCCCCTTCTTCCCCCTTCTCTCCCTTCTTCCCCCTTCTCTCCCCTTCTTCCCCTCTTCTCTCCCTTCTTCCCCCTTCTCTCCCCTTCTTCCCCCTTCTCTCCCCTTCTTCCCCCTTCTCCCCTTCTTCCCCCTTCTCTCCCCCTTCTTCCCCCTTCTCTCCCCCTTCTTCCCCCTTCTCTCCCCTTCTTCCCCCTTCTCTCCCCCTTCTTCCCCCTTCTCTCCCCTTCTTCCCCCTTCTCTCCCCTTCTTCCCCCTTCTCTCCCCTTCTTCCCCCTTCTTCTCCCCTTCTTCCCCTTCTTCCCCCTTCTCTCCCCTTCTTCCCCCTTCTCTCCCCTTCTTCCCCCTTCTCTCCCCTTCTTCCCCCTTCTCTCCCCTTCTTCCCCCCCGAATCCTCCCCCCGCCCCTGCTTCGGTCGGCCCCCCATCCTGGCAGCGCGCAGTCGACTTCTACAACCTAGCGGCCGTCCGGGCGGAGTTTTTTGTCAACACGTGCGACCTGCCCATCAGCTACGACAGCGACGTGGGCGGCAGCCGCCCGGTGGGGTTCCCCTTCTTCAGCACGCGCGTGGTCCCCGGCTCCGTTGACGTGGCTATCCCGGACCCCCTTGACCTACCTGAGAACATGGACCTGCCTGAAAATGTTGAGGTGTGTGAGCGGGTATGGGGATGGGTGGGATGAATGGGTGGGGATGGGTGGGGATGGGTTGGCAGCTGCCCGGTGGGGTTCCCCTTCTTCAGCACGCGCGTGGTCCCCGGCTCCGTGGACGTGGCTATCCTGGACCCCCTCGACCTGCCCGAGATGAGTGGGCAATGGGTGGGGATGGGATGGGTGGGGATGGGTCGGGGTGGGTTGGCAGCTGCGTAGTGGGGTTCCCCTTGTTCAGCACGCGCGTGGTCCCCGGTTCTGTGGACGTGGCGATTTCAGACCCTCTTGACCTTCCCAACAACATGGACTTACTCGAGAATGTTGAGGCGAGGGGCTGAAAGGGAGGGAAGTTACGAGACTTTGAAAGGGAGTAGGGATGGGTGGGGATGGGTTGGCAGCCGCCCGGTGGGGTTCCCCTTGTTCAGCACGCGCGGGGTGCACGGATCTGTGGACGTGGCCATCCCGGACCCCCTTGTCCTGCCTCACAACATGGACCTGCCTGAAAATGTTGAGGTTAGGGGGGAATGGGGGGGGGGGGGGGAGGGTGTGTTGGCAGGGTGGTTGGGCGGGGTTGAGTTGGCAAATGATTGTTGCTGGGGGGATAAGCCTCTGCGCTGTGGACGTGGCCATCCCGGATCCCCTCAACCTGACCAATAACATGGACCTTCCTGTCCTGAGAACGTTGAGGTGAGAGAATGGAGTGGGTGGGGTTGGGTGGGGATGGGTGGGGATGGGTGGGGATGGGTGGGCTCTGTGGACGTGGCATTTCCAAACAGAGAAAAAAAAAAATGAAGGAGAGTGGGGCTGGGTTGGGTTGGGTTGGGTTGGGTTGGGTTGGCATGTGGGTGGTGGCAGGGGGTGTGGGTGTGGGTGTGGGTGCGGGTGCGGGTGTGGGAGTCGGTCTGCTCAGAACACGTTGGAATGGGTTGGCATCGGGACCCCTGAACCTGCCTCGCATCACAACTCCCCGCTTCCATTCCCTTCCCCCCGCACCCTTTCTTCCGCAGGTTCCCTGGGAGGAGAAGGAGAACCGCGCTGTGTTCCGTGGCACGGCCAGCAGCTTCCCCTTTGAGGACTCGCAGAACTGGCGCTCTCACCCCCTCATCCGCCTGCACAGGTGCGTTCTCTTCGGTAGGTACAACTGGTGCAGGGCGCATCCTATCCGGCTGCACAGGTGTAATTGTTTCGGTAACACCCTCACTGCTTACCACACTTGCAAGGGCACTCACTTTCTCTCGCGTCTGCCTTCGTTTTGCTAACCCCCCTCTCTTCCCCTTCTCCCCTTCCACACCCCTGCCAACCCCCTTTCCCCCCCCCCCGGTCCCTCCCCTCCTATGCTTTCCTCTGTCCGTCCCCTTCTCTCTCCCCCCAATCTACACACACCTTCCCAGGATGGCGGACGCTCGTCCGGACCTGCTAGACATGAAGCTGTCACCCACTCGCGCTCTTCTTTCCCCTCCTCCTCTTCCCCTTCCTCTCGCTCCACCCCGCCAGGATGGCGGACGCTCGTCCGGACCTGCTAGACGTGAAGCTTATCGGTTGGAGTCGAGATATCGATGGGGACGTGCGCAAGAGGTATGCGCAGTGGGGGGGGCACAGGGCCAGAAGCTGGGGCACTTAGGAGCGGGTTGAAGGTGGGGCAGGGAGGGGGGTGGTGTTTTTTGGTGAATATTTCACTCTTTTAACGTTACTTGATAATTTTCCTTCTTTTCTCCCTCTCAGTTCTTGCCGTCACTCCCTCTCACTCCTCTCATTCCCTCTTACTCCCCCTCTTGCTCACTCTCCTTCACTCCCTCTCACTCGTCCGCGCTTGCCCTCTCACTCTCACTCCAACTCCCTCACACCTCGTACCTGCTTCCACTCCCCTCTCCACTCCCCTCCCCCATGCCTCCTCCCAACACTCCTCTCAGGATGGAGGCAGACGGAGTGGCAATGGTGGGGCGCACCTCCCTCACCTCCGACCCACCAATGAGCAAGTTCAAGTACCAGATCGTCTCAGGCCTGCCCTCCTCTCACCCTTCACCTCACACTCACTCACACTCCCCTCTCCACTCCTCCCCCCACTCCGTCTCAATGCCTCCCCTGACACTCCTCGCAGGATGGAGGCGGACGGAGTGGCCATGGTGGGGCGCACCACACTCACCTCCGATCCACCAATGAGCAAGTTCAAGTACCAGATCGTATCAGGCCTGCCCTCCTCTCACCAGACCTGCGCCATCCTCTCTCGGGGCGAGCAGGTGAGATTTGACACGTTCTCGTGAGGCGAGCAGGGGAGGCGTGTGTAGGGAAGAGGTGAGCAGGGGAGGCGTGTGTAGGGAAGAGGTGAGCAGGTGAGACGGCGTGGGCGGAGGTGCTTGAGGGAGTGTGGACACACAGGGCATAAAAAACGGGACTTCTCTTTCTTGCCGTTCCAGATTCTCGCTGCGGCGCATGGGCATGTGACAGTTGTTGCTGCGCCTCCGAAGGTTCTGAGACCTGCCTGTGAGGAATCTGACAATGAGCTGTTAGATCTCGTATGAGCTTACCACACAAAAGCTATGCATGCCTCTCCTCAAGCCCCGTGCACAACCGTCCCTGCTTCTTTCCCTCCCCCCTTCCAACCCATTCCAAACCTTTCCCCTTCCCACCCTTACCCCTCTCCTCCCCCACCCCCCCTTGCAGGTGGCCATCAGGCAGGCCACCCCCTACGCGGAGTTCTTCACGCCGCTCTTAAAGCCCTACGTGAACTTCATTCCAGCGAATCGGCACTTTGACAACCTGATTGAGAAGCTGCGATGGGCTCAGAGCCACGACAACCACGTGCATCACATGGTGGCTGCTGGCAAGCGGGCAGCCAAGTGAGTGTGCACATCATGGACTTATCGTTATGAAATGCACAAATCCACATGCTTACGAGTGGCTTTGCCACGGCAACCACGTGCACCACATGGTATCTACATCCAAGCGCGCAGCTGAATAATGCTTTACACTGTGCACTGTGCATCAATCAGCACACATTAATCATTGTGCTCCCCCTCCCTCTCCACTCCCCCTGTCCCCCACCTCACTGCTCAAACGCCAGGTGGGCGTGCACGCGTAGCGGCCACATGCTCTACTGGGCCATCCTCCTTATAAAGTACTCCAAGAACGCGTTACAAAGCCCAGACACGATCAAGGCCCCGGTCAAAACACTCTGCCAGGATCCCCTCGATCCTGCGCTCCTGGAAATGGCCGGCCTTGCTGCTGCCTCCTCCTCCTCCTCTGCCTCGCTCTCTCTCCCCGACTCCTGGCCCCCCGTGTGCTCGCCTGACAACATTGACCGCAGCGCTCAGCCCAAGTGTGTGTATTACTGCAGGAAGGGGATTATCCCCGGTAAGAGCTTCGTCTGGGTTTCGGCAGAAGCCCTCAAGGCCAGTGGTGGGGCGCAGTCAGCGTAGCGCTTTTCCTGGGGAGAGCCAGTGGGTGGCGAGTGTGGGAACAAGGAGTCGCTCATTAGCAGCATTATGAGGGTGGATGGTGGGCCTCCGTTAGTGGACTATCGACTGTTGTGGTTGTGGTGGTGATAGTTTTTCTTGCGAAATCCTGGTAAAGTCCAGGATATACCCGTACTGTGAGGATCAGTTCACTGATGTCTCGTTTTAGATTCGGATCGGAGCACTTGGACTTCTGGCCTGGATGATATTGCAGTTGCATGTCAAAATGTGAGATCAGGAATGTTGCGCTAACTGTGATGTCATGACCTACAATATGTAATACAGTTGTACCGTATGTAGTAATAGTATTGGTATGGTGATTACATAGCCTGGCTTATTACCTATCCTTTCCCTCATCAAACAGATGAGGGATTTGCAAATCCTACTCACCCAGTGTACACAACCAAAGAGTATACAATCTACAAAGCACAGCAAAAGAACAGAGCCTACTGTTCCTGCTTATATTCCGAAAGGTGTGTTAAGGAGCAAGCATTGTGCTGCCCCTTGCGAAGCATTCCATTGTCAGGCGGCCAGGAAGGCATCCTGGGAGTCGGAGGGGTTGACTGAGAAGTACTGTGAGGGCGGCCCGCTGATGAGGCTGCAGTCGTCAGCGTCGTCCACACATGGCAGCGGACCCAGATTGGGTGATCGGCCAATCAGTGCTGACGCCTCTTCCCATGGGCTGCAATTCAAAGAGGAATTGGAAAAAAGGCAGAGGGAAGTGAGCAAAGGAACAGATGAGTTGCTGCTGTGCATGAACGCATCTCCATCATACGATCAGTTTGGAATGCAGCTAGCCGAGAAGAGGGGAAACAGTAACCGATATTGTGGTGTGATGGTCAGTAGCTTACCTGTCGTCACCAAAAAACATGTCAATGGAGAGTCCTGACTGCCGCTGCTGCTGCGTCGGCTGCTGCGACCGGTCATCAACACAGGCAGAGGGAGGGTGAATCTGGGCTGTAGGATGGTGTTGTTGCTGCATGTATGGCTGAGATGTGGTCTGCTGTTGCATGGGCGGAGGACCAGGCAGCTGCTGCTGCTGCTGCTGCTGCTGATACTGCTGCTGCTGCTGGATCTGAGGCTGCATGGGCTGAGCCTGATACTGCTGTTGCTGCGGTTGCTGCTGCTGCTGCTGCTGCTGCTGCTGGTACTGCATCGGCTGGGCTTGATGATGCAGGGGAGGCTGCTGCTGTGCTGGCGGTCCTTGCACTGCTTGTGCTGACTGTTGGTAGAACGGCTGTTGCTGTTGCTGCTGTTGCTGCATGGGAGCCGCATGTGAGTACTGCTGCTGGGGCTGCCCCATGGGTGACTGACCCATGGGTGCATGTGCAAGGGGCGGCTGGGATCCCATGGGCGCCTGTGGCAGTGCAGGGCTGTGCATGCGAGGGGCGGGGCTGAACCGCTGCTGCTGCTGAGTGTTGCTCATTTGCCGCATGTTGGTGTGATTTGGTGGCATACCACCAGAGCCACTGGAACTCCCCATCTGGTAACCCATCGGCTGCTGCTGCTGCTGGGATTGTACCGGTTGGTACATCTGCTGCTGATACTGCTGCTGCTCATACGGCCCATCACTGTACCCGCAACTGTCCGAGCCATTGAGCAGGTCCAGGGGCGGCGGGCAGTACTGGTCGCTTGGGGCAGCAACGAAGCTCTTTCTGGGCGACTCAAACATGGACTGGGAGCGCATGAGTTGTGGCCGCCCGTGCCTGGGCTCAGGCACAGAGCTGCAGCGCGTGAGCACGTGGGGGTTGCTGTGAGGCGCGCCCATAGGTGTGCCCATGGGGGTGCCCATGGGAGATGCCATGCTGCATGCCGACAGCCCAGAGCCGTGGCTGCTGAGGCTGGAGGAAGGCGGTCCCAAGGGGGATGGGTGGGCGGGCGGCCTCTGGACGAGGCTGGGCAGCCGCAGCAGCGGCACCTTCACGCCCCCACCGCTGCTGCTGCTGCTGGTGGTGCTACTGCTGGTGGAGAGTCCCCCCATGGGCATGGAAAGAGTTTGTGAGTGCGGCTGCTGCTGCTGAAGAGGAGGCTGGGCGTTGGGGGGAGGGGGAGGAGGCATGGATCCCCGCGGGGCTCTCATTGGCTGAGTGGGACCTGGCATGGCCGCTGCTTGCATGGGCTGTGGCTGCATAGCTGGCGCTTGCTGCATTGGCGCCTGCTGAACAGGCACCTGCACCTGCGGCTGAGGCTGCGCCTGATGCTGCACGTTCATGGGTTGCTGCTGCCCTTGGACTGCCTGCACCCGCATCTGCTGCTGCTGCAGTGGCTGCTGGGCCTTGGGAGCCGCGTCAGCATAAGCAGAGCGGGCGGAGACGAGAGGGTGGGTCTCAGGGGACTCAGGCTCGCCGCTGAGCACCAGGGCGCGCGAGCTGAACTTGCACGCCTCGCCTCTCTGCCCCGCGCCCTGCCTCGACTGCCCCTGCTGAGGCGTGTACGGCGTCTGCTGGGACGGAGGTTGCCCGGCCTGCCCCATGCCTTGCTGCTGCTGTGGCTGCATAACTGGCGTCATGGGTGTCTGCCCGTGCGCCTGCTTTGCGTGCTCTGGCTGCCACTGCTGGTTCTGGCCCTGCCACTGCCCGCCCTGTTGCTGTGACCGAGGCGTCTGCTGCTGCTGAGCCGGGCAAGGGGACTGCCACTGCGGCTGCTGTTGAGCGGGTGGTGCATGGGTTGGTTGCGCCTGCCACTGGTTACCACCTGCGGGCTGAGAAGGAGTGTTGGTGCCTTGATGCGGCGCCTGCTGCTGCTGCCATTGCTGCTGCTGCCCTGCTTGCTGCGGCTGCCACTGTGGTTGCTGGGAAGGAGCCTGGCACTGCTGCTGCTGCTGCTGTTGCGACTGCCACTGCTGCTGCTGTTGATTCGGTGTTGACCATCGCTGCTGTGGCTGCTGCTCCAGCTGCTGCTGCGGCCGAGGAGAAGGCGCGGAAGAAAGGACTTGCGGCTGCTGTGACTGGCCTTGCCACTGCTGCTGTGCCGGCTGCTGCTGCTGCGGCCGCCACTGTTGCTGCGGCTGCTGCTGCGGTGGCTGCTGCTGGAAAGGCTGCTGCGCGGACGACTGCTGCTGCTGGCCTTGGCTCTGCCAGTTGCTTCCGCCGAGGGGCACGGCACCATTGGGACCTCGTCCGCCCGTGTGCAGCTGGTAGTGCCCCGGCTGCAGCTGCCCCACGCCGTTACCACCACCAGCGCCTGCAGTATCAGCACCAGCAGCGGCACCAGCAGGCGCCATTCCGCTGGAGGAAACGGGCATCCGCGAGTTGCTGCTGGGCGGCACCTGCAGACACAGCCGCTGCCCGCCGCCCAGCACCAGCGATGTGGACCGCTGCATGCGAGGCGGCGAGCCCATGCGCCCGGCAGGCTGCTGCTGCTGAGAGTACAGGGCGTTTGACGCACCAGGCTGCTGTTGGCGGGGCGGCATGGATCGCGAGGGCATCAGAGCGTGCTGGTGTTGCTGCTGCTGCTGCGGAGGCATGGGGGCGGGGCTGCCTTCGTCGCCTTCCACGATGCTGTGGCCGGGTTGGAAGGTGGAGGTGAGGCGAGGGCCCAGAGACCCGTTCAGCTGCAGCTGAATCCGGCCGTTGCTGCTGCCGCTGCTGTGGCATGGCATTGACTGCGACTTCTGCAGCCGAGGGTCCGCCCCGAACTGCTGCTGCTGCTGCTCAAAGGGCTGCTGCTGCTGGAAAGTCTGCTGCTGCTGTTGCTGCTGCTGCTGCTGCTGCTGGGGGTGGTAACTGTCTGAGCCGCCAGAGACGAGGAGCTTGTTGTTGGATGCGGCGTCAGGGAGAGGCGCGGAGGCAGAGGAAGGAGCGGGCGTGGGCTCGGGGAGGCCGAACGGGGTAAACACGGCACGGGACGACGGGGCTGCAGTGGCATCGGAGGCAGTGGCTGCGCTGGCAGAGGCGGCGGGAGCAGCAGCAGTGGCAGGGGTGCACGCAGGGTCGTGGGGCTGTTGGCTGGTCGGAACGGGTGACCCGGTGTTCTCTGGAGAGAGCTGGATGGCGAGTTGCTTGGAGCAGCCAAGGGCCCTGCGAGAAAACAAGGAGAACGAAACATAAGCCAAACGGCATAACAATCCGAGGAGCATGCGCTGAATAAGAGGACACTTTCAGCACCGCGTGACCCGACACGATTAACAAGGAAGGCTCTGGTCGGTGTTATAAAAAACGGGAACGGGCAAGAGGGGAGAGACAGAGAGCGGCACGTACGAGGTCTTGGAGGCGGGAGTGCGCGCCTGGTCCGCGCCGACAGGCTGGGCGGGCGGGGGCAGCGCAAGCGGAGGCGGAGGGGATCGCGTAACAGTCGAACCCACATCGTCCGTGTTCAACCGCAGCTTCGACACCGAGCCTATCTCCAGCTTCGACACCGAACCGAGCTCGAACTTGGGCACGAGCCCCTTGTGGCAGGGCGTGTCGGTGCACGTGTCAGTCATGGCGGAGCACGTGCCCTCCACGCACCCCATGGGCCCCTCGGACGACGCGGCCTGGATGGACAGCGACGAGCCAGCCGTCGCCTTGTCGCTGATCCTTCGCGACTTGCCCGGCCGGTTTCGGCCGCGATGCATGTGGCGCTCGCAGTACTTCTGGTCCGTCACCGCCTGCCATCATGTGACACGCGCGAGAGGGTGCGGGAGGTAGCGGGCGGGAGCGGGAGGGAGCGGGAGGGAACGAGAGGGAGAGGTGGGAAGGAGACAGAAAGGTCAAAATGATCACCCTTGGAGTCCTAAGAGCGAGAAAGCCCGGAGCGAAGGGAGAGAGGCACGGGCGAGGAGCGGAGAAACGGTGCAGAGGACAAGAGGCACACGCGCGCCGAATCGTGAGAAAGGAGTCGCAAGAGCGGCTCGGTTCGTGGCGTGACAAGCGATGAGCTGTACCTCTCGCGAGCACCGCCACTTCTTGCCGTCCGTGCGGCGGCATCTGAGGGGCTCCGCGTCCTTGAGCGGCGTGGCCCACGACGCTGCACAGAGCAACAATACGCGTTTCTGTCATTCCCGATACAGGTCCAACCGACGGCCATATCGGCCGGAAAAAGCGCAGGTGATTCGACACCGTACCAGGGCCGTCGAGCGATTGGCGAGGCGAGTCCGCTGTGGAATAGAGGGAGTCGATTAGTTCGGGAGGGACGGCGGCGCCGGAGACGAGGTACTTGAAAATGAGCGCTTGCTGCTCCAGCTGCTGCCATTGGCTGATGGTGAACGGCGCCGCGCTCTCATCTGCACGGTGAACGGCAAGCAGACGCGAGAATTGCAAGTCAGTAACGACCCTTACAACAACAACCTAACAACATCAGAACATTAAAGTGAATATTTTCCGAGAGAGATCGGGGTCTCGTACCTGCGACCAGGCCTGGATCGACCAGGCTGGACTGGCTGTCCGGGCTGATAGTCTGTTGCCGCGGAGTATCCGCCGCAACGGACGGCGTCCCCACAGAGAAGCTCGGCGTGCCGACACCAGGCTTTGACGGCGGAGGCGTGTCGCTGTTGGTCTCAGCGCCAAGCGCGGTGACGGCGGGGTCTCTAGGAGGCGACATCACTGACGCGTCGTGTGCTTTTTGCAACGTCTGCCGAGGGGAGCTGCAAGTATCGGCGTTGTCGGCATCCATTGCGGGATTTGCGGACCTAGCTTCGGCGTCGTCCTTCGCAGTGTCGCCTTCCTTGTCGCTCGCAGCGACGACATCGCCGGTGCTGTCATCCTTGTTCGCGTCATTGCTGCCGTCAGCCGCACCGTTGCTGCCGTCAGCCGCACCTTTGCTGCTGTCAGCCGCACCTTTGCTACCGTCAGCCGCATCGTTGGTGCCGTGGGCCCCGTCGTTTACGTCTTCCATCTTCACGTCCTCGCTCGCTGCACCAGCCGGGACTGACGCTTCTTCCACTCGTCTCTCCACATGGTCAACTGACTCAGTTTCGACTTTAGTTACCGCTTCTCCTTCAGCTTCTGTCGCCACGACTACTGCGACTTCAATCGCCGCCGCTTCTGGAGCTTCAGTCGCTGCGTCACCTGCAACTTTCTCCGTGGATTCTGTAGCTTCAGTCGCCACAGCTCCAATAGCTTCTGTCACCGCTGACGCTTCCGCGTCATTGCATCGCTCCGTTTTCACCTCTTCCTTAGCGCTGGACATTTCCATGCCGAAGTCTTTCTGGTCAGCGACTTCATGGATCTCTTGGTCGGTCGCAGCTTGTTGAGTCTCTTTGGCTTCATGAATCTCCTTCGGAAAAATCTGATCTTGGTCAGTTTGCGGAGGAATCGCATCCACGTCCATCTTATCGTGCTCAATTACCGTCTGATCCAAATTTACGGCCTCATTGGACTCCATACGAGTGTCTCGATTATCGTCAGACTGTCTGACCTCTTCAGAATCTCTTAAAACATTCTTGTTCCTCTTGACCGTTCGCTACAGCTTCTGCAATTGCTGGATCTCTTTCAGCTGCTAGTGTAGAATCCTGACGAAGCATCGCGTCGTGGATTTCCTGCGGCTCGATTGCATGAAACGAGGAGACTCCTGAAGCGTTCGGATCAATGGCTCCTGTGAGCGACACTGGGTCGGGTGTTGCGTCACTCGTCGACGAGGTCAAACGAGCAAAATTGTCGACGTGAACCATCTGCGTTTCAAGTTCGTTCATTTCAGTGCAGGTGAGGATAGATAGTGATTGTTCCGCCATGGATAAGATTCCACTACTCTTCTACCAAAGCAGGACTTCTCGCGTAATAACCGAAGACCTGCCTGAAGATTCTATGCCTGTTTGCGATGAATCCGGCCTGTAGCCGGATTATGAGCCCAGAAATCTGGTTTTGGAACAGATTGTGAGCCACAAAAGGTTAAAAAGCAATTCACTGCCAGCCGTCGAGCAACGGAGGACATGGGAGGCAAACGCAAATATGTCATCTCGCGGGCACTCAAGCAGATATTGCCAGAGCCCTGCCGCACCCACAGCTACAACAGAAATGGCAGGCATTCAGCAATGACAACTGAATTTCTATCAGAAATCTCCACGCAGCTCTTCATCGAGTCCGTTCACCCGGTTCATCTGGTCCGCTCATCGAGCTCTACGCTTGAATCTGACGGTCATGACTGTCTGTACGCCCCTGCTAAAAGTGCACATCACGCCCCTTGGGAACAACAGATTTTGCTTTTCCGTGCCTGCTCGCCCCCATCTTGGCATACACCCAACTGTATGGACTGACATATCACTGATCACAGGCCTGGGGATTGTCAGACTGCCGTGGCGCCTGAGTGCCGAAAATGTTGCGGTTGGGTTGGGAGCGAGAAATGTCCCGCCCCATGCAGGTGCCGGGATTCGCGGATGGAGGTAGTGTACTGCCAGAGTGGATGCCAACGGTCATCTTCGATTGTCTATAACGAATCTCACCGGCCTTTGGGAAAATCGAAACAGTGCTTCTCTTGTGTGATAGGTGCTTCACAACCCTTCCCGCTGCCGCGCTCAATGTACCCGCCAATCATATGTGGCCCTCGTCAGGACGGGCAGCTCCCTGACACCATTTGAACCTTGACAGGGCAAATTGGAAAGCCACTCTCCTCCACAAAAACGGTTGACCCAGCGTACATTATCCGCTCGGAACCACAAATTGGTTGGGCATGCTGGAAATCCCCCATTGGCTGCTCAGTCACGTAGCCCAGACGCTCTTGGCAATTCCTCCCTGTGGTATGCTTCCATAAATCGAGTACCACCATATTAGCATGGGCTAGTAACTGACTTTCAGTTAGGATACAAACGTTTGAGCTTAGTATGACAGTATCTTGAAGGAAAAAGGTAAACAAAATTATTCCATGGCACATACGGTTTTATGATCTGAAGACGATGCTAATGACAGAAAATATTACATTTGGTCACCACACCCTTTTGGTGTCGTTTACAGGACAGAGACACACAGTACAGCAGAAACTAAGCTTGTTTTGGAAAGTAATGTTTCTGTTCTCGTTAGTGTTCCTACGACCCGGCAAACGTGGCGTGGTCGCATTCCACGTCAGTTTCAGCCTCTCACAGAACTTGCCCTGCCTTGCTGGACGCCAGCACATACACAGCGCATGCTCCGCTGTAAGATTCGCAGGAATGCCATACCATATCATCCATCTCGCAGGATCATGCGATGCGATGACCACTACTGTAGCCTATTCCATGCTATGCCCTCCCTGCATAAGAGCACAGAGAATGGCGGGCATGCGGAAGCTAGCCATTGAGGTGTAAGATTCATCAACTCCAATTGTCATCCTACTTTCGTTCCTCGCATACATCATAGGGCTGCCACAAGACGAGACTCTCATCGCTGGTGAATCCTGCTTCTACTACTGTAACCTCGGCAAGTCTCGGCATCACCATGTTCTCTATCGCCACCTTTCGAGTAGGTTTCTCACGGCAAGTTTCTCCGCGTGTATTGCCGCATCCTTTCTCTATGGCCTTCGCCGCGCACGTGTCATACCTCCCTTCTGGAGCTCCCTTTCCCTCTTATTTAAGCATTTTGTCTCGCGATTGTTCATCCCCCATTCGCCCTTTTCTGCTCTTCCCTCCTCTCGTCGCGAACCTGCAGCAAGCCGCGACGCCCGTCACGATCACTGTAGGAGCCGCGGTAGCCAGCTATTTCCTCGCTGACGCCTTCGTAGGCGGCTCCGAGTCACGGTGAGTAGGAAGGGGGCGCCTTTCACGCGCACGCACGCACCATACACGTGCTCAGCACACGCACGGTTCGTCTGAATACACGAATCTCCTTATCTCTCGCTCTCAACAACAAGCCCGGAAGTTTGTCGTTTTCTCCCTCTCACACGGTGTCCCTGTCTCCCCTTCAGGTCGCAAGGAGGCAACGTCGCGTCATCAATGAGCGGCTGGTCGGCGATAGAGTACCGTCGCATGCCGATCGCAGAGTATCTCAAGGTGCGTCGCATGCCCATCGCAGGTATCGCGTCCAGGTGTGGCATTCAATTCGTCCACAGCGCAGCTTTTGAACGTTGACGTAAAGCACGAAAAACCCAAAACTGTGATTAAAGTTAGGGGGAGGCGTAAAGATCATTACAGCCAATCCTTCATGGCAGCAGAATTACGAGCCTCCAGAGTGTAAATGTAAGAAGTAAAGTTTTTATTCACTTCACCGAGTATCCCTCTGTGCGCATGTCGCTGCCGCTCCGCTGCAGATTCTGAGTGGGTGGGAGGAGGTGAACGGAGTGGCGGACGACCGTTCGCAGCGCGCCTTGCTCAAACGACTCGCCGACGCGCCCTCCACCACTGCCGTCTGAGCGTTCACCTTCCCTTCCGCCGCCCCTTACAACCCGCCGCCGCTTCCTCCGCCGCTCCGTCCAAGCCACCCGCGCTTCCGTTCCGCACCCGCTGTCCAACGTGCGATAAATCTTCCCTGGCGCGGCGAAGGATCGCGCGAGTTTGTACAGGCCTTCTGCGCGGGGAGCAACGCTGCTCCCCGCGCTGCACGCTCGACCTTTGGACGGTCGCTGTAGATACGTTCTGGATCGCTCAGTGGCAGATTTGATCCTCTTAGCGTGTTAACGAAGATGACACACCTTTCAGGGATTCAGAAGGGTGTTTTAGGATTTTGATTTGATTCATTTGAGGCATTTGATTTGTCACGTTTGAAGTCCAGAGAACGCGGTTCATAGGGGAGGCAAATAGGTGCTGAAGTACTTTTCCACGTTACTGTGCGGTCGTTTAGGTTGTGTACGGTGACCGTTCTCACCTCAACATATTCTGGAATGAAGAAATGGATGCAAGATGAGATTTGCACACCAATTAGGGAGGGTGCATATCGTTACAATACAGCCTTTCTTGTGAAGCTTCATGCATGCAATAGATACTCGATTTCAATCAGTAACGTTGATGCAAGGTTGCAGTGAGGCCGTCCACAAGCTCACACGTTTCTCTCTGGCTGGACCCCAACCCAAGTCTCCAAGGGAGGACCGTGTGCTGACGTATGAGCATTGAGCATGCTCTGCACGTCTGAAAGGTTCAGAAGCCCGAAAGGCTCGGAAGGTTTGGAAAGGTTCGGAAGGTTTGGAAGGTTTGGAGAGTTTGTAATGTTCAAAAGGTTTGGAAGGACAACTATGTGGTGAAAGTGTATTAGTGATGGGAAGAGCAGGCCTCATCTGTTGCCTCACGTGTATGGCGAGGCTTGGCACTGCAGGGAGGAGGGGTGGAGGGCAGAGGAGGGAGGACGGATGAGGGCAGGGGCATGAGGGGCGATTTGGCAGCAAATGACCCACCCACTCTCGTCCCTGCTCTCCCAACTCTCCTCTCCAGGGATGAGGGGTGAGGAGGTTGCACTGTTCTCGTTGCGTCTGGTCCACAGTCGATCGGGCACAGCAAGAGTTGCTGTGCCCGCCCCCATCCGACCGCACCGCACCACACACCACCTTACCATACATGCTCATTGCCACAGGCCCAGCTCACCACACCACTGGTGAAGTTGCATTGCGCTCGTTGCCTGAGAGCCGCAATCGTGCAGGCATAGCTATTCTCACTGCGCCGCCACCCCACCGTACCTCACCACACACCACCCCACCGCACACCCGCTTTCCCTCAGCCCCAACTCACCCCTCCACTGGTGAAGTTGCATCGTGCTCGTTGCCTCAATGCCGCGATGGAGCGTGCATAGGAAGCATCGGTGTGCCACCACCCCACCGTGCGCCACCGCACACAACCACACACCACCCCACCGCACACCCTCTTTCCCTCAGCCCCAACTCACCCCTCCACTGGTGAAGTTGCATCGTGCTCGTTGCCTCAATGCCGCGATGGAGCGCGCATAGGAAGCATCGGTGTGCCACCACCCCACCGTGCGCCACCGCGGCGTGGGCTCGTCACACACGCCCTGCTGTGTGCCCGACCCCAGCTCCCTGTAATGCAGCAGCTGCAGGTCACTCGTGCTCAGATGCGCCATGCGTGAATACGTGGGGTGCGAGGGGATCGGACCGAATACCCCCATGCTGTCAACCTGGTTGCAGTGGGGAGGGAGAGAGGGAGGAGGGAGGAGAGGGAAAGGAGGGGAAAGTGTTTCCCACCACACACACGCCCTGCTGTGTGCCCGACCCCAGCTCCCTGTAGTGCAGCAGCTGGAAGTCGCTCGTGCTGAGGTGCACCTTGTAGGGGTAGGTGGGGTGGGACGGGATTGGGCCAAACACACCCATACTGTCCACCTGTGAGGGGACAGAGGGAGGGGAAGTGAGAGAGGGGTGGAGAAAAAGGGGGACTTACGCATTTGAGGCAGAGTAGAAAGAGGGGCTCATACATGGGGGGAATTGCAGAGAGAAGGGGCGCTCACCCTACCCCAGAAATAAAAAATGCAAGATGAGGTGTGGTAACTCAGAGCACTCATGCAAGATGAGGGGCAGCACTCACCCGCCAATGAACTTGCGGTTTCCCCGCTCCCCCGTCCAGGGATTTCAAAAGAGCGGGGGGTGGGTGGGTTAGAGCAGACAGCATAGCGCACTCACCCGGCGGGGGTCAACGATAAATTTCCGATGCCCCTGCTCGCCCGGGCACAGCGACGGGTCGAAAATTCTCTCCCCATCCTTCTCATTGTCATGACACGCAGGCTCCGGCCAGTGAAACACAAACCGTTCCACTTGCATCTCGCAATCCCTCTCGCCCCCCCACAGCGACTCCTTGGGCACCTTCTTGTCCCGCACCACCCCGCCTCTCCA